TTAATCAGTTTCTTTCATTTCACAATATCTATTGTGCCTTTCAGTTTTATTTACTCTTTCAGGTTATTACACAAGAGAGTGAATATGGTGTTTACACATGTGCATCTTGATTTATTTCACTTATGAGTATGGTCTCTAGTTGCATCCATTTACCTATAAAAGCCTTGAGTTTATCTTTCTTTATAGCTGAGTAATATTCCATTGTGTAAAAACAGCACATTTTTCTTATCCATCCCTCAGTTGATAGGCATTTGGGTTTTTTCCAAAGTTTAGCTATGACAAATTGTGCTGCTGTAAACATGGGTGCATATATATTTCTGTGGTATGATTTTTTATTCTTCTGGGAAAATACCCAGAAGGGGAATAACTGGGTTAAATGGGACCTCTAACCCTAATTTTTTGAGGGATCTCCAGACTGATTTCCAAAGTGGTTGCACCAGTCTTCAATGCCACCAACAGTGGAGAAGGGTTCCTTTTTCCCCACAAGCCCTCCAACATTTATTGTTGATTGATTTCTTGATTGTAGACATTCTTACTGGGGTGAGATGAAATCTCAGGGTTATTTTAACTTGCATCTCTTGAATGACCAATGATGTTGAACATTTTTTCATGTATTTATTTTCTATTTGTATTTCTTCCTCTGAGAAGTGTATATTCATGTCAGATGCCCATTTTTGGATTGGGTCTTTGAATTTGTAAGGAGGTCTGAGTTTTTCAATTCTTTATATGCTCTAGATATAAGTCCTTTGTCTGAGGGACAGTCAGCTAAAATGTTTTCCCACTCTGTGGGTTGTCTTTTCTCTCTATTGGTAATTTCTTTTGAAGTACAAAAGCTTTTTAATAGGATGAGATCCCAGTTGTTGATTCTTTGAAGTGTTTGCAGTGCATTTTGGTTTTGTTCATGAAGAGTGTGCCTAACGATATGTCTTCAAGATTTTGACCTACTTTCTCTTCCAGTAGATTTAGTGTTTCTGCTTTAATATTTAAATCTTTGATCCATTTTGACTTTAGTGCATAGTGATAGACACAATTCTAGCTTTAGTCTTCAGCATGTAAGAAGCCAGTTTTTCCAGCACTGTTTGTTAAAGAGGCTATCTTTCTTCCAGTGAACATGTTTGGCCCCTTTGTCAAAGATAAGGTGGCTGAGTGTGCTTGTAGTTGTGTCCATATCTTAGATGGCTTTTATTAGATTGAGATAAAGACTGTCTATGCTGATTTTCTGTAGGGTTTTTTTTTTAAATCATGAATGGGTGCTGGACTTTGCCAAAAGCTTTTTCTGCATCTATTGAGATGATCATATGATTATTGTCCTTGGCTCTTGATGGAGACTGCAAAGCAGACCTGAGCAGGACTTAAATTAATCAATTGGCTTTTCATGTTCACTTGTGAATCTGTCCAAGGCCTAGGCTCCTTGTTTGGAAATGGACGGCAGACTCATAGTAAGTGAACCTCTGAGAGTCACCAATCCCTACTAAAGCCTCTAATGGTGGATGAAGCTGGAAAACGTCAAAGGATAAGACGAGATCAGCCGCAGGCATCTCACTTCTAAGTAGATTAATTTAATCCTTATTAAGGATTAATTAATTACTTGGAGAAGTCCTTGTGTAATTCCTCCCTGCTTGAGTACTCCCCTCCCTTCTTCTGATAACCAAATAAATATGGGCCACCCAGAAAAGGTCTTGGTCTTAGCCCCAAGTGAATCTCAAATTCTGTGAGAGAGTTTTGATCCTCCTGGGGCCCTGAAATCATTCCATTTGCCTCTTTTTATTTAGCCTTCACCATACACTCATTTGGAAGATTGTGGACCTGATCAGCCTGCAATAACTAAGACCTATTATTAACCCAACAGGCTCTATTAATATGGTGTAGTACATTTATTGATTTACATATATTGAACCATCTCTGCATCCCTGGTATGAATCCCACTTGGTCATGGTATGTAATCTTCTTGATGATTTGCTGCATTCTGTTTGCCAGTATCTTACTAAGGAGTTTTGCATCTATGTTCATGAGGGAGATTGGCCTGTAGTTCTCTTTCTTGGTTGGGTCCTTCTCCAGTTTTGGTATAAGGGTAATGCTCACTTCCAGGAATGAGTTTGGGAGTATTGCTTCCCTTTCAATTTCATTAAAGAGTTTGAGAAGTATTGGTGTTAAGTCTTCTCTAAATTTCTTACAGAATTCAGCAGTGACTCTGTCAGGGCTTGGGGTTTTCTTTGTTGGTAGGTTTTTAATTACATCTTCGCTTTCATTGACTGATACTGTTCTATTTAGGATTTTTATATCTTCTTGATTTAACTTTGGTACTTCATATGTATCTAGGAATCTGTCCATTTCTTCTGCATTTTCCATCTTATTAGAATACAAGTTTTCAAGGTAGGTATAGATGATCTTCTGAATTTCTACAGGGTGTGTTGTGACTTCACCTTTTTCATTACTAATTGTGTGGATTTGTGTCTTTTCTTTCCTTTGATAAGATTGGCTAAGGGTTTGTCAATTTTATTTAATTTTTCAAAGAACCAACTCTTCAATTCATTGATTTTTTTTGTATTGTAAAACCTACACTCTTACATTTTATTTTATTTTTATTTTTGAGACACAGTTTCACTATGTAGTTTAGGCTGTCCTTGAACTCCCTATGTAGTCCCGGCCAGCCTCAAACTCGTGGTGATCCTTCTGCCTCTGCCACCTCCAAGTGCTGGGATTAAAGTCGTGCACCACCATGCCCAGCTATTTACTTTTTTTTTGGTCTTTTTGAGACAGGGTCTTGCTGTGCAGTTCAGGCTGGCCTCGAACTCACAACAATCCTCCTGCCTCAGCCTCCTGAGTGCTGGGGTTATAGGCGTGCACCACCACGCCCAGCTATTTACTTTATTTTATATTTCTTGTTAAATTTAGTAATTTGAAACCTTATAGCCAGAGAATATGCTTCTCTGTTAGTTTTCTGGAAACAATGTCCCTTTATCCCCAATTAATATGGTGATAATTTGTATTGTTTGGCAATCCTACTAGTCTTTTAAAACTCCCATTGCCAGGCATGGTGGTATAGACCTGTAATCCAAGCACATGGGAGGCTAAGGCAGGAGGAGCGCTATGAGTTTGAGGACTACCTGGACTACATAGTGAGTTAAAGGCCAGCCTGAACTACATAGCAAGACTCCCCAAAAAAGAAAAACAAACAAACAGAACAAAAGAAAAAGAAAAAATACTCCCCTTATTTTACTGATTCAATTACTGTGTGCATGGATATTGTCATGTGTAAGTGTATAATATATAAGTATGCAGATAACTGTTAGAAAATGTTTTCATTTTAAGTGGTTTGTAAGTCTGTGTAGCAATCCATCAATAATTAGGTATAGACACATATTTGTATCAATTTACCCTTCACAAAGAACTTAAAAATGTTTTTTCCTTTTTTTTTTTTTTGGCCTGTTCTGGGGATCGAACTCAGGGTCTTGCACATGGTTGGCAAGCACATTACCCCTGAGTTACATCCCAAGCCAACAAAGAACTTAATTTTTGTAACCAGAAGATGGTCACTCCCTATGGGCTGGGGATATGGCTCAGTGGTAGAGCACTTGCCTAGAATGAAAGAGGCCTTGGATTTGATCCAAGCATTACTGGAATCAACAACAAACACGACTAAATCCTTGGTAGGTATGTGTGTTATCCTTCACATGCCAGGATCATCCTGTCAACCCCAAGCTTGGTTTCTCTCTCTCTCTCTCTCTCTCTCTCTCTCTCTCTCTCTCTCTCTCTCTCTCTCTCTCTCTTAGGTTCTGGGGATTAAATCTAGGGCCTCATGCATGTCAGGTAAACACTCTCCCACTGAACTGTACCCCAGCCCTTATCAAATTTTAATTAACAAAAATGTGACTCAGTGTAGGACAATCTACTTAGATATTCATTCTCATTCTTAGCAGGAGTCTAATCAATACCATCCACCTTTCATAAAAGCAGTTACAAAAAGGTGTCAAAAGCTTTAGGATATTTGTACCTTTAGCTCAGGAATCCCCCTTCTGGAGTTCTGGCCTAAAGAAATTATCTGAAACACCAACCAAGATTTGGGCACAAATGCTCATAACAGCACTTAAAAGTGAGAAAAATACCATAATGTATAGGGAAAATGGTTGTCATTTATGGGTACTGTATGATAAAATAATATATTTTATAATTATTTTTGAACAATATTATTAAATGAGAAAATCCTAATAATTTAGTTTGAAATTTGCAATGTCTACAGTATATAATTTGTGTATATTTATTGCATTATTTTTATAATATAGTTCCAACTATATGCAAAGAAAATGACCAAGAGATCATTTTCTGATGATGGAATTATACAGATTTTATTTTTGTTCTTTATACTTTTCTGTATTTAAGAAAATACATAATAAAAACTTTGTTTGAAAAAGAATCTTGTTGTGAAATAAATCTAGTATCATGTAATATTAAAGGTCAGTCCATACATATTTTCTGATTTTTCAGCTCCAATTTTCAATAAAATATATCAGATTATCTAAGAGTAATTTAAACTACATTTAAACAGTAACAGAGTATAAATATCTCATCACATCACTCAGAAATTCTAGTATTTTTACAAATTCTTCATAGTGGTGAATTTCATATTTAATTGTAGTCCTCTATGAATTTTGCTAGCCTCTTCCTATTTGCAATTTTATTGGATCCGTTCTTAAATAACTTTTTTTTGTTTTGTTGTGGTATTTCTCAACCATTTTTCATTATCACTTCCTTAAGGAAACTTTATAAACATTTTTCCCTAATCATGCTCCACCCCCTGAAATTTTATAATGTTTATATATTATATGTATACTCATGCTTTATCAAAGTAAGATTCCCCCTGCCCTGAACCAATTTTTACCCCTTTGAAGGCCATATTGCTCCCTTTGAAGGTATAGTATGCGTAGTGTAGTGAAACATTGTGGAAAATGTTATCTTAACTTTTACAGTGGGTCTCAAAGCTCACATACTTTGTTTTATAGCTGCCTGCCTCTGAAGCATCACATGGTAACCACTCCAACATTACTACTGTGGGGAGAAAAAGATGCATTCATGGAGGTTGAGATGGCTGAAGTCACGAAGATATACGTTAAGAACTATTTCAGATTGACTATTTTGTCAGAAGCCAGCCATTGGCTTCAGCAAGACCAACCTGACATAGTGAACAAATTGATATGGACATTTCTGAAAGAAGAAACAAGAAAAAAAGACTGAGTTTTCTTTACCTTCTATGCAGGGTCTGTAATGAAAGCTCTAATTTTTAAAAATTATTCATCTTCTGTTTTGCTAGGGGAAAAATCTGTTTTAATATGCTTTATTATAAATAAGTATCTTGAAAATGGTATTGAAAAAATGTGAATGTGTGAACATGTGATATAGTGTTGATTTTTACCTGAAATATTTTTCACAGAAAAGTATCTGCCTTAAAATGTACACTTGTACAAAAAGGAAGTTGGGGAACATGGCTCAGTTTTGGTTTCTTGTTTTCTTTACCTTGTTGACATAAGGTGCCTTTTATAAATAAAGATTAAAGATTAGTTGTGCCATATTAAAAGACAAATTTGCAATGGTATAAATTGTATTATTTAAAAGTTCTTTTTACTATTTTTAACCGCTAAAAATTCAATATCAAATTATATATATATATATATGAAAATATAACTAGATGACTATGCATTCTTAAAATGGTCTGTAAGTACTATTTATACTGGGAAATTTAAACTACTTTTTGCAACTGGCATCTTGTCCTATCAATGTAAGAGACATGAAGATTCATATATATGTGTGTGTTCATCCATGTGTGTATTATATTTATGCATATATACTTGTTAAACATTGCAGAGTAGGGATGCACATCCACTAAGTTACTCTGAATTCTCAGCTTAATTGGTGAATTAGGAAAATGATCAAAATGTCTTTTTGCTCCATTTAATGTAACAAGAATTGAATACTGTACTTCCTGTCTGCACTAGAATCTAAGCTCCATAAGGCAGATTTCATTTTATTTTGTTTGCTAATATACATCCAGAGTCTAGAATAAGAGCCTGGTACACTGTAAGCAATTAAATATTGGCTCTATGAATAAATACAGTAGTCCCCATTATCCACAAAAGGTACATTCTAAGATGCCCCTGCTCTACCTCTGAGGACAACATGGAACACTATACAGTAACACCTTTTCCATCCTGATTACACACTTATTATGTACTGTGGCTATTTGTTTTTCAGTTTCCAGTGTGATAGCAAAACTAGCATGAATTTCTTTTTTCTTCTTTCCGGTTTCACGGATAGATTTGTTCTTACTGTAGTTCTTAGCAACTTCAGCATGTGATTTTTTTAAATTGAGAACTTTCACCTTTTCACTTAAAGGAAGCACTTTACAGCTTTGGCATATTTGGATTGCCATCATCACTGCTCTTGACTTTCGGTCCATAATTAAGTAAAATAAAAGTTACTGGAACACAAGCACTTCAGTACCAGGAAAATCTGATAATGGACACAGCTAAGTGACTAACTGGTGGGTAGCAGGTAGTTTATTCAGCATGAATTTGCTGAACAATGGGATGATTCACAGCCTGAGTGGGATGAAACCGAACAGTTGAGTGAGAGGAGTTGGTGAGTGAGATTTCATCACACTACTCAATTGGTGTACAATTTAAAACACAGGAATTGTTTTGGGTTTTTTCAGATGAGGTCTTGTTATGTAGTCCAGGCTGGCCTGGAATCACTCTGTAACCTAGGTTGCCCTTGAGCTCAAGATCCTCCCGCCTCACCCTCCTAAGGGCTAGGATTATAGGTTCATAATACCGCTCTTGGCCCTGCATTGTTTATTTCTGAACTCTTTTCATTTAACATTTTCAAACTGTGGCTGAGCACAGGTAACTGAAACTGGATAAAGAAGAACTGCTATAATACTGTATATCTGATATACTGCTATGCTGTGTGTAGGAGGAGAATATAAAATAAAGAGGTTACATGGAATTTTCCTTAAAAGGATACATAGAGTGCAGTTAAACAAAGATTCAAGGCTGGGCATGGCGGCGCATGCCTGCAATCCCAGCACTCGGGAGGCTGAGGCGGGAGAATCACCCCAGACTGGGCTACAAATTTAGCTCAAGGCCAGCCTGAACTGCATAGTGAGACCCTGTCTCAAAAAGACAAAAAAAAAAACAACAAAGATTCAAGAGTAGAAATGAACATTACAAGTAAGAGTGAGAAGACCTGCAAAATAGAGAACAATACCAGCTCAAAGGACTGTTCCTTGTTCCCTTAGCTTCTCCTTTGGTGCAGAAGACTACTAATAACATTGACAAATCATGGCACTTTAGAGACTACACTGTTGCCAAATTAGTCCTACACTGGTGAAAAGAATGTTTCCCTCACTGCGCATAATTCCCAAAGTGACAGAAGAAAGTGGAATGTCTCTAAGAATTCTCATTATACCATAGCAACTTGTATTTACAATAAAAACTCTATTCTTTACATACGTTACACTGGGGCCTCATAACAACATTACAAGGTAGGGTGCAACACCAATTTATAGATGTGTAAATGAGGTTTAATGAGTAACTTTGCCAATGTCCATAGTGTAAGTGTTGGATCCAATCTAAGGTCCGCCTGGCTATAAAGCCCGTGATCTTGCACTTACATCACATTTTGTTTACCAGCTTGGTCTCCACACCAGTCTTTCTGTGGTAGCGGTAATCTTGTATTCTTCAATAGATGGAACAGATGGAAACATGTCTCAGAGACCTACAATGTAACTTTTAATTCTGGGGAAAAAGGAATTCAAATTAGTGATTAGCAAACATAAGAATCCTCCATATGACATTGTCAGAATTGCAAGTGCTACCAGGTATAGAAGAAAGCCTGCCTCACGCCAACTTTGAGTTATTGTTTTTCCCTCTTTATCACTTGAAGAGAGCAGCAAAAAAGAAAGAAAAAAGAACCATGACTTGTTAGTTGTGTGTGTTGACATAATAAAGAAGTAATTCTGACTTACTTCAATGAAAACCTACTATTAAATTAATTTTGAGGTTTATTATTATTGTCACTTATGTCAGTTTGGAATGGTTATTGATTCATGTGGACCAATTTTAAGAATATGAACCAAAGCCGGGCATGGTGGTGCAGACCGGTAATCCCAGCACTCTGGGTAGCTGAGGCAGGAGGATCACAAATTCCAGCACAGCCTGGGCAATTTTTCAGGACCTTGTCTCAAAATAAAAAATAAAAAATGGTGGCTGAGGATGTAGCTCAGTGCAAAGACCTTGAATTCAATTCTCAGTAACACACACACACACACACACACACACACACACACACACATACAATCAAATGTGTTGTGGCCAATTCCGGCCTATTTTATTTGAAGATAGGGTTTCTCTAGATTCCCAGACTGACATTGAATTTGTGACTCTCTTTCTGAGTAGCTCCTAAGTAGCTGGGATTACAGGAGTGCACCATCATGCCTAGGCCAATTCTGACCTATTAAAATGAATGTACTCTAGTTTTCTAGTATGTGGAAAAGTGCTTGCAATACAAAGGCACAAGTGTGCCATCAGTTAAACTTAGGATAAAGAGAACTGTTTCCACACAAATCAGTTTGTAGTGAGAGTAAGTTAATTTGAGAAACTATCTGCCAAAGCAGTAAACTTTAAGTGGTACTTAAATTAAAAAGTTGTAATTAATATTTATCCATTCAAATTAATATAGCTTTAATAGGTATATGTGCATAATACAAATATCAGAATTTGCTATGTGAAAATAACTTATTAGCCATATATGCCAAAAGCAGGACGTTTGCAGAAAAGGAAAACTGATTTTCTGTTGATATGATTGTAAGTAGCCGGTTATATTTACCATCTTTGATTTTTCTGATTTCAAAGGTCATACATCATTTTCCATTCATTAACCCACAGTCCCCTCTAAGACTTCTATATGCACACAGAAAGAGTTCTTGAATGTGAGGAAGGGGTGCATGCTAGAGGCCACCCCCAGAGTCCAGCTGCCCACATTGTGAGTTTACTGAGAAGTCAGCATGAGGGCTGAGCTGTCTGTGGGCTCCGAGACGGAGATCTGGGAGACCGCAGTCATGCAGGAGAGGAGCCAGTCGCTGTACTCCCCGGTGGCCAACCCGTTCCTGCAGCAGACACACATCAGTGCGTGGCGCTGGGCCCGCGCCATCCTCCTGGGGACTGTGCTGGTGCCCATGCGGGTGGCCTGCCTCGCCTTCCTCTTCATCCTCCTCTGGCCTGTGGTCGTGCTTTCCACCTTTGGTCTTCCTGCTCAACGGGTCGAACCCACCAAAAGCTGGAGAAAAAATCTGATGAAACCAGTACTTACATTCCTGTTTCAGGTGGCGATCTTTTTTTGGGGGTTCATGGTTAAAGTGAAAGGGAAAAAGGCGACTCGAGATGAGGCCCACATCTTCGTTACAGCGCCACACTCCACTTTCTTTGATGCAATCGCCTGCGTTGAGGCGGGCTTACCCTCAGTGGTCTCTGCAAGTCAAAACGTGCAGGTCCCAATAGGTGGGAAACTCCTCCTGTTAACAGACCCAGTACTTGTGACCCGAGAAGACCCTGATTCTAGAAAGAATACCAGGAATGAAATCTTGAAGCGAGTGACATCTGGAAGGAAGTGGCCGCAGATTCTGATTTTTCCAGAAGGTATGTGCACCAATCGCTCCTGTCTGATCCCTTTTAAGCTAGGAGCCTTCTCTCCAGGTGTCCCTGTGCAGCCAGTGCTGCTCAGATACCCAAACACCCTGGACACAGTGACCTGGACCTGGCAGGGCTTTACAGGCTTCCAGGCCTGCATGTTAACTCTGAGTCAACCTTTCACCAGGGTAGAAGTGGAGTTTATGCCTGTTCATATCCCAAACGATGAGGAAAAAAGAGATCCCCTCCTTTTTGCCAATGCGGTCAGAATTAACATGGCAAATGCTTTGGGGGTGCCTGTGACAGACCACACTTTCGGAGACTGCAGACTGATGATTTCTGTAGGTAGCCTTCAACTCCCCATGGAAGCTGGTTTGGTAGAATTTACAAAAATTAGCCATAAATTAAAATTAGATTGGGATAACATTCATAACCATTTGGATGAATATGCTACAATCGCAGTTGCCTCAAAAGGAAGGGAGGTAGGAATTGAAGAGTTTTCAGATTATTTAAAACTCCCAGTTTCAGAGCCCTTGAGACAACTTTTTGCTCTCTTTGATAGGAATAAAGATGGTATCATAGACTTCAGAGAGTACATGATAGGCCTGACTGTCCTGTGTAATCCTGCCAACACCGAAAAGATTCTGCAAATGTCATTTAAGCTTTTTGATCTTGATGAAGACGGTTTCATAATGCAACAGGAATTCACTGCTATACTTCGGGCAGCTTTTGGAGTGCCAAATCTTGATGTTGCCGGTCTCTTTCAGGAAATAGCTGGAAAGAGCTCAACACATATCTCATACAACACTTTTAGGGAGTTTGCCGTGAAGCATCCGGTGTATGCCAGGGTATTTACTTCGTATTTAGATCTCCAGGGAGCCCATGTATATTCATTACCACAAGAAATACAGCCCTAGTCATTGTGTTGAAATGTTGAAGTCACCGCTGAACATCGTGAAAGTACCTTCTATGCAGAAATTTTGGTTGAAATAAAAATTTTCCTTTGAGGAAAAATTCAATCGTTTTTATTCTAAGTAGTGTGGACGTTTAGTTATTATATTTAAAATGCACTTGAGGTATATTTCAATTTGATTTTTAGATTACTTCTTTCTTCAGATAATGTTTGCCAGGCACAGTGGCGTGTGCCTACGGCACAGCTGAGGAGGGGACTGAGGTGAGGCAGGATTTCTTTACAACAAAGCAAGTCCTGGACTCAGAAGAAACCTAGAGGGGAGAGGTTGGGGATATAGCTCAGTGGTAGAACATGTGCCTAGCATGTGTGAGGCCCTCGATTGATGCCTTGCGCTTAGAAGAAAATGTTTGTTTCAATGATAAATGATCTACTCATAAACCTTAACTACACTGCAGGATTCTAGTTAGTGCTTTTATTTTGTTTAGTACTGAAGAATGGCCAGAGAAACGTAGCCCATCAGCTCCTTTCACTTCTATATAGATAGTATCTCACTGGCAGTAAATAATGAAATTACCTTTTTTAGCAAAAGAACTAGATAAATACCTCTTTGCTCTTTCACAAAACAACCCAAGTCTCTTATTTTACAGGGCAAAATGATAAACATCAGGCCAATATGGTATTGGAAATACATTGAAATGGTTAAATATGGTGTGGCTTCCCCCTCTTCTTTTATAAAACATGCAAATGATATTTAGAATGAAAAAGAAATCACAACAGATTACAATTTCTGGAAAACTGGCTAATATAAACATAGGTTATAAATGCAGGAGATACAACAAATTCTATTTTGTGTGGGTCTCAAAATGAAATTTTATGCTAATAACTGCATATTTTACATTTTCAAGACTATTCCTTTCATTCTGATGAGGCAACAGTGAGAACAGGAGCCTCTACTTACTTACCTATATACAAGGTATATGTTTCTATTACATACTTCCTACATACTTCTAGTTCCTGTTGGTGTAAGACAGCCATACATGGTGACGTGACCTTGAATACTACCCTTTCATACTACCAGGCAGAATGAACCAACAAAGTACTGTATCCCTGGAAATCATACCTACGCCAGGACAGGGAACAAGAGCCTATCTAGACACGGAAGTGAATATGAACCAATAAACATGCCTCACTACCCAGAGCTACTGTACCCTCAACTTAGTTTCATTGTAGTTAAATCTTAAAAATTCTTGCAGTCCCTCAGTACTTCCAAGAACAAAGCAACAGTTGGTCAAGGGGGAGGAGACAAAGAATGTTGACTAGTTCAGGTCAAAATCGCTTCTTTTTGCAAGCTTTACAAAAACATACCTAAGTAAACATATTTCTAGTAACCTTACTACAACCTTGAAGAAGTTGTGGAAATGGAACACCTAATGCTTAAAATTCATTAGCTTCATAGTATTTTGAGACAGTAGAAAGGAAGAAAAGATGAACAGGGAAACAGTAAGATGAGGAAAGTGAGGAAAAGGAAAGAAAAATACCAGATTTTGTTTTGAAATAATTTCCATGCAGTTCTGACCTAAGAAAAGGAGGTCAATAAGTGACAACCGAATAATCCCCATTCAGGTCAATATTGCCATGAAAATAAATCCGTATATGTGTAATTCAGACCTGATGATTTTTAATGTACTAGACATGATTCATTGAAATCAGAAGTTTCACTTAAAACTCATTACCAAGGTATACTATATCTTTACTCAACAATGTTGCTATTACTGAAACTTCTGCAGAACTCCTTTGAACGTGACTCCTGTCACAGCCACTTTCTAGTCTCTGGGAGACAATGCCCAACATCCGTATGTTTAAGGGGAGGTACTTTGGCTCATGTTTTCAGTCACCAGCCGTAGGGCTTCCCGTGTGACCGGGAGAAGGCAGAGCGCTTCCACGTTCCAGTCCAGCTTATAGTCCTCCAGACTCAGTTTATAATTTGTGGTCTCTCACAGACCACGGACTGAATCCCCTGAAATCATAAGTCAATCTAAAACGCTCCTCCTTTACATCGTGGGTGTCAAGTATTATGTCACAGAAATGGGAAAGCTGACTTAACACAACTCCTTTTGTATATTTGTAACATTTTCAATCAAAACATTTTTAAAGGAAAATAAGCCAACATAGTGGCACATGCCGGTAATCTCAGCTCTTTGAGAGGGCAATTTAGCAGACTATCTAAAATAAAATGAAATGGGCCGGGGATGTGGTTTAATGTAAAGGACCTGGGTTCAATCTCCAGAACCAAAAACAAAAAAAAGTGCTTTCATTGTGAGACGTCAAAAAACTTGGAAATAGGAAATATAATCAATTTGCTTTCAAGATTTGGAGTCCATGGAAGAAGTTTTCTGCCTTCTAAGGCAATTTTACCTCAATTTATTTTCCACACATAAGAATCACAGTTAAGAATAACCCTCCTCCCAAAATTCTGGGGTTAGCTATGTTTCTCTTCAGAACTCCCACTGCTAGTTCCTTAGGACTCTCCTTCCTGATCAAAAAGTCTTTCAAGATATGAATTCACATGAAGTCATAAATGACTGCAGGATAAACATTAAAATAGAAATAATCATTTCAGAAAAAAAAACTCTAAAAGTAGGAAGTGAATCAACACTGGTAGGATTTGGGTAGGAGGGCAAACCTTAGGCCTTACACATTCTAAGCACTGCCACTGAAGTACACTCCTAGCTCCTGTGTTTTGTATTTTACAGAAATTTTTTTTAATCATTTCACATAGCTGTCTAAACTATAACTTTTAACAAGTTAAATTATATAACCAAAAATCATCCTGTCTCCTTTTCGCAAACCAGAGAATATCCTAGTTTTTACTTCATCGGTTTTTACTTCATGAAGAGGTGTAGTTTTGTAAAAATCCAGCAAGGTTTTGAAGGGATAGAACCTGTTGCGAGAATGCCTGGTTTATTTTATTATAGATATTTAAGGTGTACAGCATGCCATTTGATATACATAGTGGGATGATCACTTCGGTCAAGCCAATTAAAATATCCAATATCCATCTGTTAGTCACTTTCCCATTGCAGAGACACAATACCGGACAACAGCTTAAAGGAGGAGAGATTTTTGTTGGTTCACAGCTGTAGTTCACGGTTGGCTGGCTCCTAGGAAGAAGCATAGAACAGTCTGCAGAGGAAATCTACTCACCTCATGGCACCTGAAAGCAGAGAGAAGGCAGGAATCTGCAAGAGAGATGCGGTTCAGGCTTCCACGTCACGCCCCCAGCGGTCTGCCTCTTCTGAGCAGACCTCACCTCCCTACAGCACATTTAGCTATGGATTCACTGGTGGATTAATGCACGGATGGGTGTGGCCCCTCCACGATCCAACCACCTTCCAGACACATGCAGTTTCTGAGAGACAGCCCAGATCTAAGCCGAAACACCATCATTCATTTCACATGGTTTTCTTTCTTTTAATTTTTATTTTTTATTAGTACATGTTTGTGATACATAACACACTCATCGTGGGAAGTTGGTACATATACGTGTCTCATCTTGGTTTTCTCTTTTATGGGTAGGAGATTTAAAATTTGCTCTCTTGGCAAATTTCTATTACATAGTCCAACATTATTAATTACAGTCTTCATACATTAATCTTCACAAATGTAACTCTGTACTCTGACACACTTCTCCCCACCCTTGCCCTTGGTCACTATTCTACATGCTATATATTGGACTCTATCTGTCCACAAACACTTAGGTTGTTTCCATATGTTGGCTATTGTGAATAACGCTGCAATGAAAGTAGGAGGGCAGTTGTCTCTATGAGGGGCTGACTTCATTTACTCTGGGTATATGCCTAGAAGAGGGATTGCTGGATCATATGCAAGTGTTATCGTAAACCTTTTGAACAACCTCCATACTATTTTCCATAATGCTTGCAACAGTTTACATTGTCACAGGATTATGTATGTGCACTAAATCTGTCATCTAAAACGTATAGATGACCTGGGTCTAATGCTAGACAGCCGCTTTCTCGTTGTGTGATTTTAGCCAAGTTATCCACTCTCCCTCTGTCTATGCTTCAGCTTCCTCATCTGTAAATCAGGGCAAGGGGCAGTAAGTACACGGCTCTTGTAAGGATTAACACAGAGAAGGAAGAACAGCGAAACCACAAAATAAGCATTTATATTGTTAGGTCTGGAAGTGCAATATTTGAAAGGCAGCATTTGAGAATTCTCTTGCCCAATTTTATGTCCCTTTATTTTCTACAGTTATCATTGCCTTGTGCAAAGCTTATGAATAAAGTGAACTATTGAGCTTTCTCTTTTCTTTGGAGGAAGTTATCAAACACTGAACCGAAAGACTGAAATGATATTCATTCCAGCTACTTTACTGCGGACAAAATACTTAAATATTCTGTAGTTCCGCCACCTCCTTCCCAGGTTCAAGGGAAGACTATTTGCTTCCTACTCCCCTTAATTTCTTCTCTTTTGCCGGACATCAATTTCAGAGCTTTACATCTAAAGTGCTGTAATAGAATTTGGCCTTTCTCAGCTCCAACTCAAGAGCAGTTACGAGTCAGACCTTCCATAAGGAGATGGGGTCTTCTAGACGCTGTAAATACCCTTTGTATCGGACTCGGAATTATTCTGACTCAGGCAGTTCATGAGAGTTTCTTCCTCCACCTCCATTCTTCCTTGCTTAGCGCATTTTTCAGGACCAAGACGCAGGTGAGGGCGTGACTCGCCGCTGAAGACCTGTGAGGCAGTCCTTCGCGGAAAAACAACGCAGACATGCTGGGAAGACACAGCATACAAACGGTGGTCGTGGCCGGGCGTGGTGGCGCACGCCTGTAATCCCAGCACTCGGGAGGCTGAGGCAGGAGGATCGTTGCGAGTTCGAGACCAATCGGGGTTACAAAGTGAGCTCAAGGCCAGCCTGAACTGCATAGCGAGACCCTGTCTCAAAAAGGCAAAAAAAAAAAAAAAAAAGTTGGTCGTACTGATTTGAACTCAGTCTTCAATGAAAGTTTATAAAATGCGCGGTTAACACCAACCGGAAAGCAAAGGAGAGTGGGGCCGGGCTCGGTCAACCGCACCAGACCGCCGCCTCCCGGGGCAACGAGCGCCGACCCCCGCGGCCGCGGTAAACACGGCGAGTGCGCCTGCGCACACCCTCGCGGGTCACGTGCCCGCGCCGTCTGGGGCCTGGGGACACCCCGAGGCTGTCGGGGTGCAGCCGAGGGCGAAGGCGCCGCAACCTTTCCCCGCTGAGGGCAGGTCCGGATAGGCGCCCCGCCTCCGGTCGGAAACGCCCCCTCTTCCTCCTCGGCGGGCCGGGCGCGGCCGAGCGCCGGGCCTGCTCGCGGACATGGCCCGCCGTAAGGAGGGCAGCGCGGGCCCCGCGGGGCTCCCGGGGCCCCCTGGAGTTTGCAGTAAGGGCTTGCAAAGGAAGGGCCCCTGTGAGCGGCGCCGGCTGAAGGCGATGGTGTCGGAGCAGCTGAGCCAGGACCTGCTCAGGTAGGAGGTCGCCGGGACCTCGGCCGCTTCAGTTCCTCAAGCGCCTCCCGCGCCCGAAGCCGTGGCTTCCTCCTCGGTGCCCCCCGCCCTCCCCACCTCGTTCCCTTCGCCTCCAGCGGCCCCAGGACGTTGGCGCGTCTCCCCTCTCCTCCAGACGCAGCCCGGAGTAACCAGTCTCGAGCATTTTGGACACCGCGGACCGGAGTCAAAGGAAAAACAAAGATTAAAATCGCAGTCATCGTGCGGTACCAGATGATGTTAAAGTATCCTAACTCGGGCGGGCTCTGTTACTTTAAAAACAAATCGCCAAGGTCAGGGTAGATCCAGGTCCTGAAATGTACAATTTTTTTTTAATTTGAAGAAAAATAAAATTAGGAAAGTGAGCATTGAAGGGAGGACAGAAGAAACAAATTACTGGGTCCTTGAAGCTCTCTTTGTTCTGAGTTCTTTTTAAACAGCTTACCAGAAATGACCATAGAAAAATACTTTTTCAGTGCAACTTGGTTTCTCCTGTCTGCCTATAATACTGTATAGCTGCCAGCACCTCCCAGCTCCTGCAAGTACCAAGTGAATGGAATCAAAACATTAATGATCTTTAGTGTACATCACAATCACCACCTGCAGGGCTTGTTAAAACACCAGTTTACGTGGTCCCAGCCCACGCATCCTATTTACCTCCTTTGAGATGGGCCCAAGATTTTGCATTCCTGCAATAACAAGGACCCGGGCGACCACATGCTGTTGCCCAGGAACACACTTAGAGGACCACTAGACTAGAATAAACACCATTAATAGTGACAGTTTTGCAGCATTCCACATTTGAAAAGTGATTTTGGCCAGAAACTCACATTTAAAGCTCCCGTAGCTACCAAAAGAATTTGATCAAAGTAAAGCAATTTCCTTTTAATTTAAGTTTATCTAGTAGGGATGGTACTAGATGTTTCCACCAGTTGGAAATTGATGTAAAAGGGGAGAAAAAATGAGATTGAAGTTGCTTTGTCCCTAGGGTGAATTTCTAAGGATGAGATGCCGCATTTCCGGTGACTTTATTCTTCTGGCTGTTTTGGGAATCTTACGAAGTGTCAGTGAATTTAAGGAAGTAACATGTCTATATCAATAAGTTTGGAAACATAGCTGCTGAATAGTTTGTCACCCTCCTGGTAGCAATTGAGGATAGGGCCCCAAACTCCCAATTTGCTATTGGAAGGAAGGAAAAATAAGTGTAACAGGATTTTTTTTTAACACCAAAAAACTTAACGTGCTCACCCGGCCACCTAAAATGCTCTGCTAAATTAATCTTCTCCAAGCACAGCAGTATCATCAGTTTATTCTACAAATATTAATGAACTGTTATCTAGTGCCAGCCGTGTGTATCTAGCTCCGTAATAGGTCCTAAGGAATCAAAGATTTCATAAGGTATTGCTTTGGTGTTTGTGTTTTACACTTCCGTGAGAGAGAAAATGACCAAACAGAAGTGATGAGGGGCGCGGTTTGAGCTTGGGAAGATTTTATAATTTTACAAGACTAAGAATTAATTAAAAATTGGAAAGGGAGAAGTAGAGCTAAGCACGGGGACAGCCCCCCCACCCCTTGTCCTGGATGGAGATTGAACCGAGGCTCGCACACGTGCTGGTCAAGTGTTCTTTCACTGAACAACATTCCTAGCCCAAGAGTGGCTTACACGAACGACAAAGATTTGAAAGAACTTGGTATTTTGGAAAAGCATGAGGTAATGAGATATATGGAAAAGTGAGAAAAAATAGGAAACAGCTTTGGCAGTTAAAAAGCCAAGTCTGACATAAAACTGGAAAGGTGCTTGGATCTGACAAGAATTATGTAAGTTCTCATTGACAAATGGAGAGGGCAGTTTCTTTTTGAAGCTAATAATACTACTGTCCTATTTACTAGTTACTGGGCTAAAGAGTAGTGTTTCATTTCTCCCATGAAGCCTGTGAGCCCCAGTCTTGTTATTCTTCTCTTTTTTTTGTCTTTTTGAGACAGGGTCTGGCTACACAGTTCAGGCTGGCCTTGAGCTCACTTTGTAGCCCAGGCTGGCCTCGAACTCGAAACGATCCTCCAGCCTCAGCCTCCTGAGTGCTGGGTTTACAGGCGTGTGTCACCACGCCCTGCTTTGTCTTATTATTCTTAAACTAACAGCCAAGATTAGAGAAGCAGTGGACGAGCAGTAGAAAATAAGTGATGGACTCAGAATAAGAACCACAGCAGTCTGGCTGCAAAGTCATTAAAATGATTCGCCAAGGTGGCGTGCATGTCAGAATGTGAGCCAGCGTAAAGCCTAAGCAGCCTGCCTTCTCTATAGAAAAGTGTGGAGTTGAGGAAGGCACTTGAACTAGCAGATGCAAATTAAAAGTTGATGGCAATCCCAGTACCCTGTTATCCAGATCAGGTATTCCCTTTCCTTCACCTATATCTCATCACCAACTCTTGCCGGTTTTATTACCTAAATATATTTGAAGTCTATTTGCATTTTCCTCGAATTCCTCCTCTACACAAGGGACAGGTAATTTTTTTGTTTTGTTCTTTGGTGATTCTAGGGATAGATCCCAGGGCATTGGGTATGCTAGGCATGGCCCACCCTCCCCCCTTTTAAAGTTTGAGACATGGTCTCGCTGAGTCAGTCAGTTGCCTGTAGTGGACTTGAACTTGTAATCAAGTTTCAGCTTCTTAGAGTGATGGGGTTACAGGCATGCACCACCATGCCTGGCTCAATTTGAGCTTTCAATGAAAATTTTGAGCTTTTGAACGTGTTTGTGTTCTGAGGCATTTGTTTTGTTTAAGGTAGGGTCATTTGAGAAGCAGATATTGAACTTTTGCTGTATGCTGAATATACTGTATATGCAGTTTTTTCCCTTGGGCAGTTCATTGTCTAATAGGGAGAAATGCACGTAAAAATAATAATGATGCAATGACAGAGGTGCTATGACAGAGATACGCTCTCGGTGTAATGGGATTAGAGAGAGAGCCACTTACTTGGTCTTGGAGGAGTGAGTGTCGTTGGCAACTTTCCAAGCTTTCGCTGTTGTGGATGTCTTTACTCATCACTGTACCTCCTGTAGTGTACTGGTGTGATTGCCAGTTATATCCAGCAACACAGAAGCCCTCTGAGACTGTTACCTTGATGATGACATTGCTATAGTGATACAAAGTATTATTTAGTATTGAGAGAGTAGGAATATATAGTTACTGCAAATAGACGAAAGATTATATTTTGAAGGTTTCTATTATAGTGTTGATTTCTGTTCTTCCATCATTTAAGTATACATGAAATCAGTGGGCTTTACTGTAACTACTTCTGCACACTAGTAAAGGGATTTAAATAGGTTTACCTCCTGAGTCCATCCTTTTAATAATAGATTAGAGCATGATTAATTCTATATGGGAGAATGGAAGAGGGTTTAAATGTCACATTCTTGACATTCAAGCTTGCATTTCAGACTTGGTAATTAATAGAACAAAGTGTACCAGTTTCTAAGCTGAATTGTCTATTGTTAAGTGGTTTGTTGATGTTATTGACTATTTTTTACTTCAATTTTAGCAAAAATTTTTAAAGATTGATTCTTTGTAATAGCAACCATGTTAGCTTTGTGTTCTGTATTCCAAAATAAATCTAAAGAAGGAACATTTTAATAGGCAACCAACATAAATAGCAGAAAATAAATTCTACTAGCAGAAGGATGTCAGGAGTAGATTCCTTTTCTGTCCAGGGTGAACAGGTCCTGAGAACGAGGTACCCGCGGATGAACACAAAAGTAAGAGAAACAAGAAAAACAAGAGAGGCATAATTCTGGGATCAGGGGGGCTTACAGCCTTTTGGACTGCAGCCTTGATTACCATTTTCAGTAACCTTTTATTGAGAAAGAACAAAGGAGGCAGCAGAGGAATGGGAGGATATCAACTGTTTTAGCGAGGACAGTACAACTCAATCATCACAGGAATGAGACCTGACTAGTTAGCCATCATGTTATCATTCCTTGGGGCATATCTCAGCAAAGCATCTAGTGTTTTCCCCGGGGATTTCAATGCTTTTGCTAGACTTCCTCCAGAAACCAACAATCATGGCTTGGTCAGACCTGAGGCAATACATTGAAAGAGTAACTAAAGAATGTCCTTCTCCACAGAAGGAATTAATAAGAAAATCTATGTTATGAGAAAATGGTGTTACTTTTTTAGTAAAATTGCCTTTGTTTTACTATATAAAAATAATCAGCCAGGCATGGTGGTGCATGAGTGTAATCCCAGCACTCGGGAGGCTGAGGCAGGAGGATTGTGGTGAGTTTGAGGCCAGCCTGGCTACATATGGAGCACAAGGCCAGCCTGAACTACACAGTGAGGCCCAGTGTCAAATAAACAAACAAATACACTATGTTTTTCTTAGCATCACTCATTAAACTATGATTTCTTCTTATCCTCTACAGGCTTTTAAGGGAAGAAATCCATACAGATGTTACTTTCTCTGTAGATTGTACTTTGTTCAAAGTACACAAAGCAGTCCTTTTAGCAAGAGTTCCTGCCTTCTATTTTCATATTGTTGGACAAACATCAAATAATTTAATAAATCATGAGCCTATTCCTGTGAAGAATGTTGATGCTTCAGAATTTAGAACATTTTTACAGTAAGTGTTTTATCTTTTTTCCTCTAATATTTAAATCTAATACATAATTGGTTATTTTTAAACATGTGCATATATGTTTTTAATCTATTTTCATATTGATTTTATAACCCAAGGAAAGCTCATTCATTTAAATTTCAAGTTACCTTAGTAATTGGTATTAATAGAATCTAAGTATCAATAGTGCAGGCTAAGTACAAATTTAAGACTGATCCTGAGCCTGGGTACAATGATGTATACCGACAGCCCCAACTACTTGGGAGGCTGAGGCAAGACAGTCACACACTTGAGGCCAGCCAACGCAACTTGGAGAGACCCTGACCTAAAATAAATGAAAAAGGCTGGGGATGGAGCTCAGTGGTCTTGGTTCAATCTCCAGCGCCACCAAAAGAAAAAAAAAAAACACTAATTCTGGGCTGGAGTGGTAGCTTATTAGGAGAGTGCATGCTTAGCACGTAAGAGGCCCTGAATTCAGTACCCCTTCACTAAAAGGAAAAAAGCTGATCCTGGAAAAGGAGAGATGAACAGTGTGCTCTCTGGTAATTTGAATGAGTTATGCTATGCAAGGTTTCTAAACAGTGGTACTGACAGCATACAGTGGCATATGCCTGTAATTCCTGTGCTTGGTACGCAGAGGCAGGAGGATCTCCTGAGTTTGAGGCCAACGTGGGTTACATAGTGAGTTCAAGGCCATCCTGCCCTACAAAGCAAGACCCTGTCTCAAAAAACCAATAAATAAATAGATAAAAATAAAATAAACAGTGGCACTGTTGACGTTTTGGGTCAGGTACATTTTTTTGTTGTTACATGGGCAGTGCTATGCGTTTTAAAATGTTTAGTTATCACCACCAAAACGTCTTCAATGTTGCCCTCTTGGTAGAGCTGGGAGGGGTCTCTCTGTTGACAACCATGCTACATGCCAACTACTGTATTATTGGTGTTCATAGCTTTAAGTAAATTATGTACATTTATAAAAATATGAGCTCATAATTGATCTTATTCTCATAGATCATGCCTGTTTGGACTGCTGCCATAAAATATCTTAGATTGAATAACTTATAAACAACAGAAATTTATCACCACCAATTCTAGAAGCTAGGATCAGGTTAATAACCCTTAGTTATTGCGGGCTGATCAGGCCTGCAGTCTCCCAAGTGAGTGGAGGGGGAAGGTGTAAATAAATGAGACAGCTGAAATGATTTTAGGGCTCCAGGACGGTCCAGCTCTCTTACAGAATTCAAGATTCTCTGGGTTAAGATCCAGACTTCCCTGGGCAGTGCATATTTATTTGTTTTTCAAACAAAGCAGGGGGATACTGAAGAAAATGCAGGAATCTGGGCAGGACTTGGGAATCCCTTTAAGGACCTCTCCAAGTAATACATTTTGTTAATTTAGGAGAGCTATATTATCTCCAGGAAGCCCTTCATGGCAGGAGTGAGATGCCTGCAGCTATAGTCTCTTTTTAGTTAAATTGGGATTGGAGCCAAAGTCCTCAGCTGTGGCCTTGTCTTGCCCTTTGAGGCCTCATGGCTTCACCCACCATTACAGGCCTCAGTAGGGACCAGTGACTCACAAGTAAACATGGAAGCCAATTGGTTAATGTAAGTCCTGCTTAGAGCTGCTTCGTAGTGGGCTCCATCAGGCTAGGAAGTACAGGAGAAAGGCAGCAGACTGTTTTGTGTCTGGTCAGGGCTGATTCCTCATAGATGCTCCTTCTGTGTATCCTTACATAGCACAAGCTCCCTCAGGTTACAGTTTAGAGGACACGAATCTTATTCATGAGGGGAGAGCCCTCATGACCTAATCATTTTCCAATTGTCTCACTTTCAGTACCACTACTTTGGAAATTGTTTCCACATAGCTTTGGGTATACAAATTTTCAGCCCATAGCAGCTTGTGTGCAGTCAAAGCTTTTGGAAACAGATCATCAGTTAAATTTTTTAGTAATTTGTGGGATGCAAGTATTTGGTAAAGTTAGAAAATTGTTGTCAGCTAAATAATGGGAGAAGCTAATTTAAATTAACCCCTATTGTATACTTGACTTTTCATTTTTGAATAAGATTTAACTGTATGCCTGGACCACGTTTTGTTCATGCATTCGTCAGTTGTTGGCCCCTTAAGTTTTTTCCCGCTTTTTAGCTATTGTGAGTAATGCTGCTGTGAACATTCATGCATCAGTTTTTGTGTTTTCATTTCTCTTAGGTTAATACTGAGAGTGAAATTGCTGGGTCATGTGGTACCTCTGTGTTCATCGTTTTAAGGAACTGCCAAACTCTTCCAAAATGGCTAAACCATTTAAAATTACACTAACAATATGTGAGGGTTTCAGTTTCTTCATGTCCTCAGCAACACTTGTTGCTATCACCTGTTTTTTATTATAGCCATCCTAATAGACATAAACTCGTATCTCATTGTGATTTTCATTTGTATTTTCCTGATATGTAATGACTTTGAGCATATTTTCATGTGGTTATTTGCCATTTTTATATCATCTTTTGAGAACTATTTAGTCATATCCTTTGCCCATTTTTTAAAAACTGGGTTATCTTTCCTTAAAATGACTAAGTTACAGGAATTCCTTATATATGGACCATTATAATCAGATATGTGATTCTCAAGCATTTTCTCCCATTCTGTGGGTTGTGTTTTCACTTTCTTGATAGTACCATTTGTAACATGAAATTTTAAACTTTGATGTAGCTCAGCTTATTTGATTTTTTCTTTTGTTACTTGTGTTTTTGATGTTAAGAAACCATTGCCTCATCCAGGTTCAAAGATTTATTTCTGTTTTCTCCTAAGAATTTATGATTTTATACTTTTGCCTCTTACATTTCGGTCTGTGATCTATTTTGAGTTACTTTTTATGTATGATGTAAGAAGAAATACAACTTTGTTCTTTTGTATGTGCCTACTCAAAGTTGTCCTTACGCCACTTTTTGGAAGAAACTATTCTTTCCCCCACTAGAGTTTCTGGATGTATTTGTTGAAACCAGTTTCCCATTGCTGTGGACTGAGCTATCTCCCCACCTGAATTACATGTTCAAACCCTGACGCTCGCTGTGATGGAAGTTGGAGATGGGGCCTTTGGGGAGTAATTAGGTTTCGGTGAGTTCATAAGGCTAGAATGCTCATAAAGATTAGTGCCTTTGTAAAAAGAGAGACGCCAAAGAGCTTTTGCTGTCTCTACCCACATCATGTGAGGACACAGTGAAACAGCTATGTCTGGAAGCCAAAAAAAGGCCCTTACCAGACCCCAACCATCTTGGAATTGTAGCCACTAAAACTGTAAGAAATAAATTTCTGTTATTTCAGGCACCCACCTTATGTATTTTGTTATGGCACCCTGGGCTGACTCTTAAATGGACTGTATTAACCCCATGGGCTATGCTCTGTTCTATTTATCTGTAGGTCTGTTGTTACGCCAGTGCCAGTGATCAGTTTTGACATTTAAATCCAAGTTGGATTTTATGCTTTTAAGTCATAGATTCTAGGTGTTTTTTAGATGACAGTGGTTTAGTTATTTGTGCCATGCTTTTTTCCTGCAATAAGAATGATGTTGACTTTATTGTAGAAAATCATCCTTGTGGGGCTGGGGATTAGCTCAGCAGCACAGCACCTGCCTGGCAAGCACAAGGTCATGAGTTCGATTCCTGGTACTGGGGGCGGGGAGAGAAAGTCATCCTTGCATAATTAAATTTAATTATGTATGATTTGGCTTATTGTTCTTTGCTTTATACCCTAACAGTAACTGCAGTGATCTGTTTTTCTTTATTATTTGGTTTTCTTTTGTCAAATTCCTGTAAACATAAATGGAAAATTAGAAAATTACCTAACCTTGGCTTTTCTTATTTGTCAGAATAGTAAGATATACTATAATTTAAAGTTACTTTAATTACAAGTTAGAGAAATTATTTTCCAGTATAGCTCATGGGTCTATCATTGAGTTCTAAGTGTCAATTTAAAAATGTGTACCTTCTTTCCCCTAGTAGGTGGTATAGTAGAGTTGTTATAGGAATAGGTACACCTGTAATCCCAACACTCTAGGAGGCTGAGGCAGGAGGACTATAAATTCTAGTCTATGTAACTTCGTAACCTAGTGAGACTATGTCTCAAAATAAAAAAAATAAAGGGGCTGGGGATGTAGCTCAGGGCAAAGGCCTTGAGTTCAATCCTCAATACGGAAAAAAAAAAAAGCAAAACCACAAGAGCAACAATAAAACAGAGCAGGCTTTGAACTCAAGCCGTATTTTCCATTTCTAACTGTGTAAAATTGTACTGATAACTTGCCATTAGTGTCCTCATCTGAAAAGTGGGCGTGATAATACCTACCTCATGGAGTTGTTCTGAAGTTTTAAGTTAGATGGTTGTAAAACACAACACAGTGGCCTGGCATATAGTAGGCACTGAACACATTTCGATAAGTGTAATTCATGATGATAAACATTATGAACTTATACATTTCTGTAGCAGTTGAGTATATGTTTCAAAGAATATCTTAGAGATAGGTCAAATTTTTATACATTAGAGAAAGGGAGAAATTATATCAGTGTCATCCTTTATTTGTTATTAAAAGTGATAAGGGGAAAGTTTGAGTTAGAAATAGTTCTGTTATCTCTTCTGGCTATGCATTATCTTGTTGTGTGATTTCTGTGAGCTTCAGGTTTATCATTTAGAACAAGGAAGTTGGAGTAGTTGGGTTTGTACTTCATAGAATTGACATTCCTGTAAGTACACGATCACATTTTCTTTTATATTAGGTTAGTTTTGTACATCTAATTATACAAGCTCCTTAAGATTAGTTTGTCTCATTCATGTGCACATACCCAGTGGTACCTAGCATCTTGCACGTAGAAATATTTGTGACGTGCTGCCCCTCTTTTTTTAGATTACACTGAAATTTGTCTACATTAAAACAGTACACAGGTAGAGCATTATAATGGAAAACAGTGATATCATCAAATATTTAAAATAAAAATCCTGATAAAGATAGATTATTGAATTTGTGCTGTGTGAAATTTAGTCCTTTATAAGACTTTTCAATTCATATTCTTTTCAAATAACTGATAAAGATTTTGAGATATTCTTTTATGTTGTTGCTTATTTTACAATAATTCTTGTGCCCTTATGTTAGAATATGAAATGTAGTTTTGAGGAGGTGTTTTATATGCAGTGACTTCAGATATGACTCAGGGGTGAGTGGAAAGTAGTATTTGTTTTATGATCTCATGATTAAATTCAACTAAAATCAACTAATGATCATAAAATGGTTGATTTCCCAAGAAGACTTGCTATTGTTATTTTGAGAGCATGTGTATATGTAAAAGGGAAAGAGGGAAGACCTTGGTGTTTTCAGTTTAACAAGGATAACTGGAAGATGCTAAAGTAACATAAAACATTAACATAAAACAGCATAGAACAACTGTCTTACGTGGTGTTTATTTTATTTGATGCATCCCTTATATTATTAGGTCTGGAGATGGGTAGGATAGATGTCTTCCTGGTATTAACTATATTTTCTGGAGGTGTTTTTGTTTTTGTTTTTGGGTTTTTTCAGGGGGTTACTGTTGTTTTGATGCTGAGGATTGAACCTAGGACATGGTAAGCACATATTTTACCACAAAGTTCAGCCATCTGTTATATTTATTTAATTTTGTATTTTAAGACACAGTCTTACTATATTGTCTGGGCTAGACGTGAACTCTTAGGCCCCCCAGTTTAGCATCTCTAGTAAGCTAGACTACAGGTACATGCCCCTTGACCTAACTTGAGCCATGTATCCTTGTTGTTCTGGTATCTGGGATCTGACTGGAGAGAATGTATCCCTCTCAAGGTTAGCTAATTCCTAGTGATAGTAAGTGATTTGCCTGTAGACATATATATATAAACTAACCAGTCTTGAGTCCATAAACCTACCCATACACCCACCTCCTTCATTTGTTTCTTGTATTCCAGAGGGCACTATTCCTCTACCCTAATCATCTCAGGGCTAAGTACCAGACAATAAGGGATTGCTCCTATAGCCAGGAGCCTGCCAGTATTATTCAGACTAATTAACACATTCACGATGGGGCCATCAGGAGTATGTCTCACACTGGGCAGGTGATACATGCATGACTATCCCATCCAGTAGCATGGGACAGTCTCATTGGATAGTACACACTGCCTGATGGGACAGTCATGCATGTACCACTGATGGTTTAGGCCAGTGGGAAGGTGTTAATCCTAATCCTGTTCACTTGCCTACCTCACCTTGCTCATTTCTTCCCAAGACAAATACATACTTTTGTACATGTTCTCCCCTCCTCCTTCTGCCTCCTGACTAACACTGTTCCTTCTGCGTGTGGTCTTGTGTGGCATGATATGGCCCCTCTTTTTGGGAATTGTAAAAAAACAAATTATCTTTTCAATGTCAGTCATTTCCTTATCTGTTGGCTTCACATATCTGAACAAAATCAAAATCCCTGGTACTGTCCAAAATACTTGCGAATGTCATGGTTGCCCCCAGACCATTCTACTCCCTTTTTCAAAGCTCTTACCTTTGACTCTCTTCTTCCCAGTCTTTCCAGTTGGATGGTCATCCATAGACCCCCAGGATTGAGAGTCCTCACAGATTTTAACTACAGACTATTGTCAGTTTGTCTGGTAACATAATGTTTGGTAATTCCCATTGCTACTTAGGTAATGGTTCCAATAACCTGACCTTTCAGTTCCTGTAACTGCTATATTCCACTTAGCATGTTCTCACCTTTCCTCAAGTTCCAGAGTAAATCAGTCCTATTGTATGAAGAATGGCCCCAAGATACTGTGAGACCAAAGAGGGAGGCAGACAGACTGCAGTTTGTTTGGGACTTCCTGAGAGAAACATTGTCCTTGGTGGCAGTAAAACCAATTGGATCCTTATAATTTGGATCAGAAAGATGGGCAGATTTATAGGGGAGAGGAAAAGTGACTTCATCCTCACTGGGATATACTTGTTTATCCTAAGATAATATCAAAGCATCAGAAACATCCCTGGATCTTCCATGTAGTTGTAAAACTTGGAATACCACTGTGATGATTTTTGTCTGTTTATAGTTTTCTGAGAAATTATAAAAGAAAAACTGCCCAGGGTTATTCTGGGGAAATCATGGTACTTATGACTTGATGGAGACCACTACAAAGCAGCCCCGAGCAGGACTTAAATTAACCAATGGGCTTTTCTTGTTTACTTGTGAATATGTCCAGGGCCTAGGCTCCTTGTCTGGAGATGGGCAGTGGACTCATAGTAAGTGAACCTGTATGAGTTACTAATTCCTACTAAGGCCTGTAATGGAGCATGAAGCTGGAAAGCCTCAAAGGGTAAGACAAGATCACAGCCAAGGACACCTGGATTCAACCTCAACTAGATAAAGACTATAGCCTCAGGTATCTCTCTCTCTCTTGGGTGGATTAACTTAATACCTTACCTGGAGAAGTCCTTGAATGGTTCTGCCCTTCCTGAGTACTCCCCTCCCTTCTTCTGATAACTAAATAAATATGGGCCACCTAGAAAAGGTCTTCCAAGAGCATGGTATAGGCATTTGCTCAGCTTCTAATGAGGGCCTTGTGGCAGAAAGTTGAAAAGAGGCAAGCACTAGTAAGAAAAGGCATGTGTGTGAGAGAGATGAGTGGGAAAATGGGGCTGGACTTGGTTTATTATAACCTGCTAGGGATCTGGCCAAGATCCCTAACTGCCTGTATGAGGGGTAGAGCGAAGGATAAAATAAGAGATGGAGACAAATTTAGTAATGCATAGACGAGGCTGGGAGGTCAGTGTCTCAGACTGGGCAAAGACAAAGACCTTTGTGGCTGGCCTGCTGTTTATTGAGCAGATGCACACATTTTCAGAGAGGGTAGTATACTTTTCCTGGAACAGAGTGGTAATTGCTGTGGGATAGTACAAAAAACAAAGCATTCTCGCAAGGATGAGACAAGGGCCGGTAAGGAAACTAGTTTCTCCCGGCAAAACCTTTACTGCTGCTACTACATTGCTTTGAAGATCCTTGTCTTCTTCAGCAGGTGTTATCTTGCCCTGTTAATGCCACTGCATCCCTAGCTGTGGGGCTTCAGCTGTGACTGGGAGAAAGTGGAGAGTTTCCATGTTCTGGCTTACAGAGCAGGACAAGGATGGCCTTGAACATCCTCTGGACTCAGTTTATAACTTGTGGTCCCAAGAATAACCCTCAAATGAAAACTAAGTCATTGCCCGAGAACTGACCCACTCTGTGGGGAAAGACATAAATCTTAGGTCATAAATGACCTAAGTAGAATATCCTACCTCCTAACACTGCTACATTGGGAATCAAATGTCAATATGTGTTTTGGTGAGGACAGACTATATCCAAACTATAGCATTCAACTCCATCAAGACTTACAGGTTACTCTATCTTACTACATTTTAGTAGTCTCTTATTCTCTTACCTGTTCATTTCCATTCTTGCTCAACTTAAATTCCTCTTGCATACAGCTAGTTTGTCTCATTTAAACTTGTTTTATTTGCGTGTCAGAACCCAAAACCTTATGTCCGACTTTTTAACTCTGCTACCCTGCATCCACACAGCTGAATGTAGCTGGAAAAAACACGGGCAGCCGTACTAATTGGTTTCACGTAAATGCATGACTCTGAACCTCAAGTAGGCAGTTGGTGCTGTTAGTCCTATCAAGTGGCTTTTGTCCTTTATTCTACTGATATGATATATAACATTGATTTTCTTATGTTTAACCACTCCTTAATTTCTTAGATGAATCCCAGTTGGTCATGGTGTATAATTCTTTTTATATACTGCTCGGTTCAGTTTATATTATTTTGTTGAGGATTGTTTCATTTCTATTAATAAAGAATATTGATCTGTTTTGCTTTTCTTACAAGATCTTTCCTACATTTGTGTCCTTTATATAGGCATTAGGGAATGAACTTGAAAATATTACTATGTCTTCTACTTTTTGGAAAAGTTTGTGAAGAATTGGTGTTAATTTAAATTTGTCAGAACTTACCAATAAAATTATCTAGTCAGGGTGTGTGTGAAGTTTTTAAATTTAATTTACTATTTATTTGTTAAAGGTCTACTTAGATATTCTGAGTTAGGTCTGAAAATCTGTGTTGTTCTGGAAATTGACCTTGTCATTGTGGTTATCTGAGTTTTAGACATTATATATTACTTTCAACATTTTTTTGTTCTTGTCTTTTTGAGACAGGGTTTCACTGTGTAGTTTAGGCTGGCCTCAAACTCAGCAATCCTCCTGTCTCAGCTTCCTTAGTGCTGGGATTATAGGCATGTGCCATCATACCTGGCTACTTTCAACATTTTAAAAAAATTATACAATACTTGCCAAGCTGTATATAGTTTGTTTGTTTGTTTGTTTGTTTTTTGTCTTTTTGAGACAGGGTCTCCCTATGCAGCTCAGGCTGGCCTTGAGCTCACTTTGTAGCCCAGGCTGGTCTCGAATTCACAGTGATCCTCCTACCTCAGCCTCCCAAGTGCTGGGATTACAAGCGTGCACCACCACGCCCACCAAGCTGAATATAGTTTTCATTTGACTTTCCTACTGTTAGTTCAGACTAAAAAGCTTTTGAAATAGTGCTTTATGTATGAATTATATGTTTTATATGTGTAATATATATGTTACATATGAAAGCAGCACATTGGGGAGGCTAGCTTTCTTTTTAAGAATCGCCCTTACTGTAATTAATACTTTATATTTTGTCTTTTAGGATTACATATTCATCAAAAAAAGACATAAAAAACTATGAAGAGGAAATTCTTAGTAAAATGACAATGGAAAACGGGAGACCACAAAAGAAACTTGATGTTGATTTTCAAAAGTGTAAAAATTCTTCCGATTTTGTTCTTCAGAAGCATGAAAATCCAGAAGATGTCAGTGGTAAAGATGACTGTTTAATTTTCAGTGGTGAAGTATTTTTGATGGATTTTTATGAAATTTTATAATCATAAAAAGAATTACATTCTGATATAGAGAAGAGCATACTTCAGAAACTGCACTACTGATTTCCGTAAGCATAGAGAAAGGAATATACTAGTGTGGTCAGCTTCTAGTTTTTCCAAGTAATTGGAGATAGGGTTATTATAACTAAATCTGCATATAATTCACAGTCCTGTTTTTCATTGCTTAAGCCTCTACTATAGGTGTCATTGCCCTTATTCTATTCTGTACCCTACATTTTAGCAGACCATAGTCACTTATAACACAATGTATGCATTCCTTTAAAAATACTATGCAATAGTGTGACACATTTAAAAAAGATAGTAACCTAATTAAAATGGTAGCCTAGTTTTGCCTACAGTATAGAATGCATACAGCATTTTCCTTTGAAAAGGCCTTAAATTTGCTTGTAGAAGTAGGTATCAGAAAGGTTGCATCTTTGGAGTTTCGGTGTATTGGTAGAAAGAGAATATTAATTAGAGAGAGAGAGAAATATTGATTGGTTGTGACAAGAAGCCTGAGGTCTTTGGATCAGAGAAAACACCTGTTATTACTCCTAGAGCATCTTAGTGCCCATTCTCAGTTGTCAGATTCCATGAGACGGTGAACTGAGGCCCTGATGTTACCCTGCCTATGCAACGGAATTGCACCACAAAAGAACACCAAAATTAGGAGACTAATCTGTTGTGGAGGTGCACACCTGTAATTCCAGCACTGGCGAGGCAGAGACAGAAGAATGAAATTAAGGCCAGTCTGAGGTGCACAGTGAGTTCAAGACCAGCCTGAACTACATAGTGAGACTCTGTCTCAAAAAAACAAAAACTTAGGAAACTCTAAGCTTTTATAGGCTGCTTCCAGATCAGCCCATCAGCCTCTGGGGTAAGAAGGCAGGTGGAGATATTAACTCCAGTCTTGCCTTAAAGATGTTATGGTTTGATCTAAAGTGTCCCCTAAAAGTCTCATTTGTTCAAAAGTAAGACTTTCTGGATGGTGATTAGATCATCATGAGGCACTATACTCATTAACGGATTAATCCACTGATGAATTCATTAAATGTACTGTTAGGAGATGGGGCCTGGTAGGAGGAATCAGGTCACCGGAAGTGTGCCTTTGGAGGTTTATCTCTTGCTCTGGTTCTCACTCTCTGTGAGTCCACCTCAAGTCCACCTTGAGGTAAACAGGTTTCCTCTTCCATGCTCCTTAGCCATGATCTTTCTGTCTCAGAGCCAGCCATTCATGGACTGAAACCTCTGAAAATGTGACCCAAGATAAACCCTCCTCCTCTGAGTTGTGGGTGACTCGTATTTTCTTCTAGTGATATCTAGTGACCAAATATAGAAAAGTGGCACAAGCACTGGGGCCTCTGTTTTCACTGTCTGACCATGTGGTTCAGAAGCCTTTGGAAGTGGTTTGTAGGAGAAGTTTGGAGAATCAGGCTCGAGAAAGCCTATTATGTAAGCAGTGGTGGTTTATCTCCTAGATATACTTAAATATTTTTTTTTCTTTATTCTCCTTTTTTGTTTTTTTCCAGTACCGGGAATCAAACTCACAACCTTGTGCTTGCTGGGCAGGCGCTGTGCCGCTGAGCTAAATCCCTATCCGCTCTCCTATCATTTCTTTATTTCAGGTTTTTGCAATTTTTCTTGAGAATTTTTAGCCCAGATAGTCTTTAGGTCCCTAGTTATGCCAGCCTCCATTTGTATTATATAGAATAATGTTAATTACAGGTCTGGCTATGACATTCACCTTGTTAAAATTATTTGGTGATCTCCTACATCCTTAATTGAAATTTCAGATTCCTTTCCATGGCAGCAGGGGATTTCATGAATTTGCTCCTACCTTGACCTTTGCTGCCTTATCTCTCCATAACTCCCTCATGCCCCTACAGCTTCAGACTTAGTGAATTAACTGATTTTAATCATATTTTGTCACTTCTTTGTTTTTGTATTTGTTCTTTATTCCTGAAACGTCACTATAGTCATTCATCACTTTTTTTGTTGTTTTTTGAGACAAGGTTTCACTATATAGTTTGGACAGGTCTTGAATTCACTGTGTAGCCCAGGCTGGCATCAAATTGATGGCAATCCTCCTGCCTCATTCTCCCAAGTGTTGGGGTTATAGGCTTGAGCCACCATTCCCAGCTTCATTACATCTTTTAATTGCCTACTTTGTGGTAGATGTAAGATACGAGTGAGCAAAGTAGTGTACTTGTCTTGCAGCCTGGTAGGAGATATAGTTAGGTGGGCCGTATACAAGGTGTTAAGAGGAAAAATAGAGCACATGCAGCCTGGACTTAGGCTTCTAGGAAAAGCTTTACATGGAGGAGATAACTTCTTAGTTGAATCCTAAAGGAAAAAAACAGAGGTTATCTAGGCAAAACTAGTTTAAGGGAGGAGTATTTCAGGCAAAGTAAATATGACTGTATGCCTACAAACAGATAAAGCCAGATATGTAGCACAGTTGGAAAACTAGAAATGGTTTCAGAATAGTATAAAGTCGGAAACAGGAATGGTCACAGTAACAGAGTAAGCCCAGAGATATAAGCAGAAGCCATATAATGAAAAGCCTTACTGGAAGGATGACTCTTTTTTTCAAGCTGGGCCACTGTTTTTCCCCTTTTCTGTAGTACTGGGGATTGAAGGCAGCTCAGGTGGATGCTAGGCAAGTGCTCTACTATAGAGCTACATCCCTAATGCTTTTTAAATTTTATTTTGAAACATGCTCTCACTAAGTTACCCAAGCCAGCCTCAAACGTGTGATCCTTTTAGCTCAGTCTCCTGAATAGCTGAGATTACAAGTATATACCACCATGCCTGGTTCATACTTTCAATAGAATGAAAGCATTGCTGTTAACATGTCTTCTGTCTTAGTCACAGAAGAGTGATTCCAGAACACCCCTGCTCCCCAGGATACCAATATTCTGATGCTCAGGTCTCTTATATAAAATGATATTTGCATGTAACCTGCATACATCCTCCTATATACTTTAAAATATCTCTAGATTGCATATATCTAATACAGTGTAAATGCTATGTAATTAGTTGTTTCACTGCACTGTTTAGAAAGTAATGACAAAAAAGTCTGTAAATGTTAAGTCCAGATCCTAGGTATATTAGCTTTTCATCACTGGGACACAGTACCCAGCAGAAGAGGTTTAATTTGGTTCACAGTTGTGGGGATTTTCAGTCCAGGGTCAGCTGGCTCCATGGCAGGATTATCATACTGGAAGTGACTGGTGGTGGAACACAGATACTTAGTTCATGGCGGCCAGGAAGCACAGAATGAGAACAGCACCAGAGAGAAAGGGGTGAGGGGCCAGATACAGTACTCAAGGTCATAACTCCATGACACACCTGAATACACCCAGAAGTGTTCTTTATTAATAGTACCCAAGCCAATCAAGTTGACAATTAATCTTAATCACTGCAGTAGGCCTAACTACATAGTATATTTGTGAGAGGTGAGGCAAACAGTGCTCAAATGAATACCGGAAAGAGACTGAGGATTTGTGAAATTGCAGTATCTACTTACATATATCACATTCAGTAGGCTATCTGAGTACATTAGCTTTTGGAAAATATTCTAGGTTTTCTCTAGAAAACTGTCAAGGGAAATTTCCCTTGTTAAATTACATGAATTAAATCTTCTAAGGCATTGTAGAAGTAGTAGAATAGTCACTTCCTGCTACCCAATTCTGGTTGGAGTTTTACATGTAATATTTGACATACTAACGTACTCATCAAGTGTATATTGAGAGTCTACTGTGTCAGCCACTGTTCTAGGTCTGGGGGGTGTGGTTCCTCTAAAACTAAAATGAATTTCCAGCCCTTTTGGACCTTATGTTCTGGTAGAGAAGTTAGAATGGGCAGCATTCAGTATCAGAAGAAGTTCACAGAGTTCTACTTTATCAACTAAACAGTAGTTATTTATAGACAAAATGGAAGTAAAATACAAAAATAATTTCATTTGTTATAGCAGACCTTTACCTTATTTGCACACAGTCTAATCGGTTGGCTACCTGTGATTGGGTAAAGTTTGGCTGTTTTTGATTGGTTGAGATCTTGCTGTTATAAAAAATAAGTGAGTTTGGTTTTGGTTTACTTACTTTCTAAGTTAGGTTGCATTTCAGTATGTGGTAACTCAAAGGATGGGGACAGTTTCAGGTCAGCTTTATCAGGTAAGCCAGGCATGGTGGCACACACGTATAATCCCACTTAAGAGGCTGAAGCAGGAGGATTATAATGAGTTCAAGGGCAACCTGAACTACATAGCAAGACCCTACCTCAAAAAAATGTACAGTTCTGTTTTATTACAGTATAATTTACACTGATAATATAATACTGTATAAAATACAGTGATCCAGTGTAAGTGGAAATACATATAATACAGAAAATGTGGATGAATTACAATTTTTAAAATTTTGAACTTGCCACTTAAATATTCCAGCTAATTGAGATAATTATATAAAAAACCTCTTTCTAATATTACCAAGTACTTTCTTTTTTATTTTATTTTATTTTTTTTTATTTATTATTTTTTTTTTTTTTGGTTTTTCTCTGGTACCAGGAACTGAACTCACGACCTTGCGCTTGCCAGGCAGGCGCTTTTGCCGCTGAGCTAAATCCCCAGCCCCTTTTTTATTTTTTTTTGTACCAGGAATCAAACTCAGGACCTTGCACTTGCCAGGCAGGCACTGTGCCACTGAGCGTCTTTCTAATATTGGAAAACAAAATTTTGGGATGTTTAATAATATTATATTGTTAGTTGTATTTTTCTCTTTTAAAGATAATTATAGCTTGGAACCTGCCTCTGAATTAGGAGAAGATTTATTGAAGCTTTATGTGCAACGTTGTTGTCCAGATATTGATATTTATGTTGATGGAAAAACTTTTCAAGTCCACAGGTAAATAGATATGTGATTGATTTGGTGTCTTAGTTGTAATATTAAAGTGTAGAATAGTGCCTGTCTTTTTAAACACAGTGGTTTTTAAGCTCTGATTCATGGAGGTCACAGGGGCTCCACAATGATTCCTCAAGGAGTCTCCAACAGGGGGAGAGGTTGGCCATCAGACAGGGTTTTCTGCCTGCAAGCTCCTACATACACACATCAGACTTCTCCCACCTATTCTTTGCATTGGGCATAAACCTAAGATTTCATTAGAAGAAAATATTCTGTTCCCTAAAATACGCTTGAAAGCCAGTGTCATGGAAAATGTAGTTAATTGCATTTTTAAATTTTACAGGCATTATAGTACTGAAAATGATTATTTCTTCATGAATGACATGTATTTTCTCTGAATGCATTTGGTTGCACCTTCTGTGATTCAGAATAGAGGATACTCATGAATAACACTGATTAGGGAGCTTAATATTTCAATGGACTTTTAAAAAACCACAGTTTTGCTTAACAGTTGGTTTGCTTACTCATTCGAGCCTTTTAGATTTCAAATTAAAGCCTGCCATTTGTTTTGGTTAGACATTTTTAATTGCAAGTAACTAAAATCTGCTTAAATGAAGAAATATTTGTAATAAGAAATACGGATTATCTGCTGGAACTCAACTAAATGAAGTCTAGCTGGACCTCAGTATGAAGTAGAATCAGAACCAGAAATCTGAAGAATCCAACTAGTTCTTTCCTTCATGTTTTAAATATGAATGTTATTAAGAAGTTATTCTGGTGTTCCTGAAGAGGAAGAACCAGACTATTTGCAATGGCAAGAAGGAAGTTTCAAGGTTCAAGGGTCCATATGCCTTAATGAAATTAGCAGTTGATTTAGATTATAGGAATCTACCAGCCAAACTCTAGGACTGCCGTTTTGAACCAGACTATTTGCTATTCAGAATTTGAAGTTTCCTCTCTGGGAACATGTATTTTGTAAATATATGTACATATATACATGTGAAATCTGTGTTATGTTTAATAAGATACAAAATGTAATACAGATTGATCAGTGTTTTCCACGTCAGGGCATACTTTTCTAAATCATAGGTGTGTGTGTGTTTCTGTGTTTCTTTTTTTCTTTTCTGGTTAGTTTTATTTTGTGTCCAGGTTTTTCTTGAGACCATACAGGCGTCATACCAAAGTTCTGTTCATAGAGCCTGAAAACTATTGCTGTCGTGTAGGGATGACAGACCTTGTGACTATTCGCAATTTGTCTTCCGTATTCATATTTGACCTCTTACTATGTGCTGCCTGAGAGTGGACTAATAGGACTGTGTTTTAGGAGCTGCATTTGGATATTAGGTTGGTATTCCAGAATAGCTCTTTCTTATATTTCTGATTTGTTTTGCTTCACTGTAAAAAAGAAATTCATATTAACTAGGAAGGCAATTTTCTAGTTAATGTTTCAAGATCTGACATGTTTTCCTACTTTGTTGCCTTTGTGTGAGTTATAATATAGAATTCTAAATTACACAGTGCTCTCCTCGTTCAAGCTTAGCATCTGTTTAGTGAATACTAAACAGAATGTTGGGTCACTATTGAGAAAACACATACTTATTTACAGTCCAACATCAGAACTTTTAAATTAATTCTTCTTTTACCTATAGGATTGGTACAGTAAGTAGTGCAGCTAAAAAATCCATTTATAGCATGACTGCTTTAATTTTAAAAAATTATTTGTACTCATTTGTTGAAAGATTAGTGCAAGTACTTATTGTAGAGGGCCAAAATTTATGACCTGAGTTAAAAGTCAGTGTAGTCTCAACATTTAAAATGGTTTAGTTTGCTAGTTTAATATGTTCAGATCAGTGTGGTAATGTGATAATTTCTTGTTCCATTGAGTTAGTCTTTCCTTCAAGTTCAAGTTACTAACTTAAACACATCCAAGTTTTCTAAGTTTGTCCCTCCAGGTGCACTGTCTGTTCTTCACCCTGATTTTGCCTTCATTGCTCAGAGTGCTTTATATGGTAAAAGACAGTCAGATGCCAGATGCTTGCTGTGGTGGCGCAACTGAGTAAAGCAGAGTGGTTAAGAGTGTGTGGACCTGGGAGCCAGTCTGCCTGGGTTTTTAATTTCAACTTCAGTCTCATTAGCTGTGTGAATTTGGGCAAGCCATTTAACCATTTATTCAGTAGCATCCTCATCAAAGACAGGGATTCTAAAACTACTCATATCACAGGGTGATTGTGAGGTTTATTAATACTTAAAACTCTTTGAGAGTGCCTGGCACATAATAAGTAGTATCTATGTTTGTTCTTGTTATTGTTACCATCATCATCATCGTCATCATCATCATCATGCAAGTGATAATCCTTTGACCCAAGTTTTTGTACAGACTGTGGTAGCAGCCTCAAAGCCATTACTTCTGTGGAGCAAGCAAAGAAACAGTTTGAATCACTTGCATTTTCCTCTAATCCAGGAAAGGATGGGATAGCAGCAGGTTTCCAAAGGTCACACCCGCTGTACTTTACTCCCTCTGCATAGTCCTTTCCTTTTCTAAAGTTTTAACTTCTTTACCCTTTTCCCATCTTTGTCCTTATTTGTCCCTAACACATGCTCAAAGCAGAAGTGAGAGCTCTTTATTTAGTGGGTGGGAGCTTATGGTAACAGGAGGGTTACCATATCTGAATCTATTTGTTATATTATTACATTTCTGAATATTGCATTCTGGGACACTGCGAAGGGTAGTATGCTGCCTTTGTTGTGGGCTTCTGTAGCATTACCTTCCTGCCTTGAATTCCTCTTAGTTATGGGATGAATATCATCTGAACATTGTGCATTTCTCTTCGCTTATGTTTCCGTCTGTCACCGTTAGTCTACCTCTGAGTACTTGCCTGACCTGCTTTATTGCTGACCTTCCATTTTATAGTATGATTTATTATTTTCATGCTTAATGACACAAGTGAATGTTACATTTTTGAAATAATTTATTTGTTGCATTTTTGTATTCCACAATTAAGATTCTCTTGTGCTGCCTCATTGAAAAACCAGAGCAGTGATTCCAAATGTTAGCTTTCTGACACTTAAAAGCTAGTATTCCTTTCAGTGCCAAAATTCTATACCATTAGATATTCATTCATTGGGTTAAGATGTTGCCGAATCTCACTTTACAATACAGGTTTTTCTGAAGATTTAGTAAATAAACACCATGTCAGAAGATCAATATTGTATTTTGGGCCATGCCGCTGGCTGTATTTTCTTGGGTACGTTAGCTGAAAGCTTTTTCAGAAGTAGTAGAGCTTCGTAATTGCAAAGTCAGTCTTTCTGGATTTGTATTCTGATTTTACTACTTATTAATTGCTGGGAAATTAATCTAAGTCTTAATTCTTTATTTCTAAAAGGAATAATAATAGCAATAATAATATGAGAAGCTGTGAGGATTGAATGTCTAAGTATATCTGTCACATGTTTTGGAAAATAAATGTTAGTTGCTAAAAATATGTACTGTGTATCTATAAGAGAGTCACAATATTACCTATTCTACCTTGTCTTACAACAGGAAGCAGCAAACTATGGTGCAAATCTGGTAGGGGCCCAATTTGTAATAGGGACCTGCAAAGCCTGTTTATCGTCTGACCCTTTACAGAAAGTTTTCTGTTTGTCCCCATAGAATTTGTAGGAAATGTGAATGAAATAATTACAATAAAATTCCAAGTTTTCATACAGTAGCGAGATACTAATGTCTTAATTTATTAATGATGAATCGTCAACTCTGTCCACATGAGAGGTTTTTGTTTTTGTTTTTGTTTTTGGTCTTTTTGAGACAGGGTCTCACTGTGTAGTTCATACTTGTCTTGAACTCACTTTGTAGCTCAAACTGGCCTGAGACGATCCTCCTGCCTCTGCGTCCTGCTGGGATTACAGGCGTGTGCTACCATGACCGGCCCACCTGAGAGATTTAAAGTAAAGATAAGTTAGGTGTAGGAACAATAGAAGGGACGGATCTAAAATTCCTTCATACCATTAGCCTTGGAGAAGGTTGAACTGGGGAGCTAAAAGCAGACGGTACTAGGTACCTGAAAGAAAATAAATCACTGTAGTTAGAATCTCCCTAACTGAGCTTAGTTTAACAGGTTCTCCAGGTGCTCTCAGGAGAATGTGCAGACATGTTAGCAAGAACTTTTGAGGCCAGGAGACTGTCTCAATATAACTACATATTTCTGTTTCTATCTCTTGAGTTTTTGTCTTTCAACAATCACTTGGGTAGTTCCCAACCTGCTTATGCCATTTGAATTTATTATTTTTATGATACAGGCTAATGAATGTCATGTAATGAATATTACACAAAGTATGAAAAAAGTTAATTGTTCCAGTGAAATCTATGTGAATGCTTTGGAAAGACTTAATAAAGGGGAAGCACTTAAAATACTACTGTTGAATTTGGTATAAACAGTATACAAATATCAGGGGAGTTAGCGAGGATTGTAGCTTGGTTGTAAATCACTTGCTTAACATCCACAACACTGTACATTCATTCCTCAGGACCACTAAAAAATGTTTTGGAGAATTACAGAAATTTAGAATGATTCTCTGCTCAACTTACTTCACAAAAGCTTTTTTAAATTTCTTTTTTCACTTCAGAGAAATTCACAGTAGAAATCATAGTGTATAAATGTGTAATTTTTGCAAGAAAGGAGATATCAATCAATGAACTCTCGTTTAAACAAAAAGACTAGTCTTATGGTGACAGATTTGTGAATGAATGTGTATTTTTTAAATGATTATGATACATGTAAAATGATTATGATACATCTAAACTTTTTAAGTTCCTGATTTTTAATTAAACAATTGTCTGTCTTTATTGTGTTGGATAATAGGGTATCCTTTGTACTTTGTTATTTAATTTAAGAAAGAATAATCTTATGAAAGTTGTAATTCTCAAGAGAAAGTTAGCTTTTCTTCTATAAAGTAATGTTCTCTAAAATATTTGCTAATATGTAGAATGAAAGTGGTAAATAGCT